TACCTGCACATTGTTACTGCTCTTTTGAAACAGATGCCTCCCAAAACAATTATTTTTAATCAACTATTTGCTCAAATTGCCACAGATATTCAGATATTCTTGTGTATTATGCTTTTGCTCCCTACCAAGAACTAACGCCCCAGTTCTTGACTGTTGTTTATTTTTGTTCATTTTTATTCTGACAGCTTGGTCCTTCAAGCTGGATCTCAACATTCCCCCCACTCACCTCGGGAACATGACCGAGACCGTGCATAGGGGAGTCTGGGGCTCCACCCCAGTATTGTTTAGAAGTGCTGTTTCAGAATGTAGAGAGCGGAAGCTAGAGGCAACTGAAAGAGTGACGAGAATCATAAACCAGAGGAGCAACTAGAATTGGGAGCAAGTGGCCTGGGACCGCGAAAAGGAAACCTCACATGGAAAATAAGATAGGTCTGCTACTAGAATCCGGGACTCTGACTTTTCTAGACTTTTCTAAGAGAGACTAGTCATTTAAAAGGGTGTGATCAAAGCCCAATGATCAAACACCACTGATCAAAGCCCACTGATCAATGGCCATGAGTACCATTCACAGAGAGTTGGGGAATGGCTGCAATCACAGCATTGTAAGATGGCGAAAGATGTACCCTTAGGCCCCCACCTCGATTCAGAGATGGTCTTTCCCTTTTCACGTAAATAGCCTCCTTGACTCTGCGCTCAAACCAGCGTTCCTCTGGTTTGAGCGCTGGCCTGTAGGTGTAAATACACTGTGGACTCCTAGCCTGACGAGTTAGCTCTTCTGTGTTGTGCCATCTGCTTCACCAGAGGTTATTTGGTTTCCCCGATCTATAAATCTTGGCAATCCTCCTGGCACTAAACAGCGGAAACTATGTTACTCTGTTTGTATCGGGTGACCCGATCCTTGGGGTGGAGCAGTTTTTGGTGCAGTGTGTTTTGGGGTGTAAAAGCCACAGAGACATGGCGTTTAGAAAAAATGCATCTCAGCTGGTCCGATACTCCTGACATGTACGGGATCACTAAGGGTTTTCCCTTAGGCAGCAGTTGTCCTTCTCCCCTGGATCAGCTGGAGCTTTCTTTTGGTGCCTTACCAGTTTTGACACATGTCCAGCTGGGATAACCACATTTACGAGGGGGCTTCTTGATGTGATGTTCTTCTGCTTCCCTGGCTGCTGTGGCTGTGGGGATGGTGTTCGCTCTGTGTTGTAGTGTCCTGATGACACCCATTTTGTGCTCCAGTGGATGATGAAAGTCAAACCTTAAATATTTATCCGTATGCGTAGGTTTACGGTACACGTCAGCTTTTAAATGTATCCCTTTACTGATGGGAATCTCACAGTCTAAGAAGGCTAACCTGCCACTTTTCATATCCTCCCTGGTAAATTTGATCTGTTGGTCCACCGAGTTAATGTGATCTGTGAATTGTGGTACGTCCTGAGATTTCCATATTAATGATCAAGGAACTGACCTCACAGTCAC